GAGTTTTTTCCTGTTTCACCATAGTTAAGTGAATTGTTGCAGTTGTTAAGTTGAGGACTATCTATATTCTTAGGCCAATCCTATTGCTAGTGAAGCTCATCCATTATTTTAGCAACTGAATCAGACATTTATCCCAAAACAACAAATGAGATCATTTTTCACACTTATGACAGAGGCAGCCTTCCCGTGGTTACGCAACTGAAATTCAGATGCTCGGCAACCGACTCACACTTATGAAGGTTGTGTTGTGTGATCCCCTTTTGCGACCGTCTGACAAGCAAAGTCTATAAAGCCGGTTTCACAACCATGTGGCTAATAACTGCAGTGATTCACTAACAACTGCAGTGATTCACTTAAAAATGGCAGGAAGAAAGGTCATAAAATGAAGCAAAACTCACAACAAATGTGTGGTTTAGCAACAGATATTTTGGGCTTGATTGTGGTCGTAACTTGAGGACTAAATGTATGGCTTGGTTCTATATTTTGAGTAGTGTTTTTTTGCAAACAATTCTATTCTCAACCCTTTTCTACGCCTCAATTATTCATTTCTTTTTATCTTTTTAATTTTCATTTGTAAATCCGCCCGAAGGCTGCCTTACCTTCAGAAAATTACTGAGTTCTACAACTTTCTCAGGAAATCTTCTGGCGACAAGTTCTTCGGCCTCAAGGAGAGGAAGAAAAGAAATATTAAAAGTTGGAATGCATTTAAAAATATCTGTCGATGAAAAGAAGAAATAAGAATATTTTTGGGACCGCCCAACGCAGTCTTTTCCAAATTAAATAAAAAAACATTCAAAATATTTCATGTGAAATGAAACGAAAAACATTTCATATTAAATGAAGTGAAAAACGTTTTACATCCATGTAAAAACATTTACATGAAACAAAAATCATTTACATGAAATTAAATTCAAAACATTTTACAGTAAATTAAATTCAAAACATTTTACATTAAATGAAATAAAATGTATTTTACAGTAAATAAAATTAAAAACTTTTTATAATTACAATATTTTATGGGACTAAAAAGTTTGGCACCAATAATCAACACTTGCAGCCATCTTTAAATATTAATATGGTTTTGTTGCAGTCAGCCAGATGTTCAGAAATAATAATAATAACTATTACTATTATTATTGGTGAAATAGAATTTCCAATATTCCTGAATGGCGTGGACCATGGGCTATTTATTTTCTTGAACATTGAATAAATATTTTCTGTATTCATTCGATTTCTACATGCCCTCTATATTTGCTGGGGAGGTCATGAGAGGATGAAACAAGATGGAGGACAGAGGAATTGAAGACCTATTTTTCGCATCCCCCAAAAAAATATTTTGGCGGGGGTGTGTGGTGTTGAAACTGTACCCCAATTTTCTCACCTGGACGCAAAGGTTCTCCTTGAAGGAGTTCACCTGGGGAAGAGAAAGAGAAACAAGGATTGGGAAAGAAAGGGGAAAACTTGGAAGCCGCACAAAAGGAGCCCGGGCGCCTAGCCAGACGCTGGGATACCCGATCCTGCCCTACACCTGTTGGACTTCTCGCTCGGCCGGCCGTTTGACAGGAGATGGGAAGGGGTGCCAAGGCAGCCCCTCCCTGCCTGCCTGAATGCTTCTGAACCCTGGTGCCTTGGTCTGATTCGATACGCCCCATCCAACCCCCCCCCCCCACTTCATTTCAGGGGGCCCACAACAATCCAACAGGTGAAGCTGTTCTCTCAGCTGCTCTTCCCCCAAACACCCCCTCCTGCACCGCCCAAAACAGTCTCCCTCTGCTCCTGATTTCTTTGCCCCCTCCCCCCATTCTAGCAGGTTGCTTAGAATAATTCAACAGGTGAAGCTTCCTCTCCTCAAAAACATCCCACCCGCCACCCACCCCACAATCCCCTCACTCCACAGATCCTGCTCCGATTTCCCTGACCAATCCAAGCCTCCTCCTCCCCCCAGTGTCCATTCTGCCTGGTTGCTTGGAGCAATCCAACAGGTGCAGCTTTCTCTCTACAGCCCCTCCCCACCCCCAAACAACCCCTACCCCCCCCCCCCCCCCCACCCCCCCCCCCCCCCCCCCCCCGTTCCCAGCGCCCCTGGCACAATCCAACAGGTGCAGCTCTTACCACCCCTCGATCTCCTTACCCACCCACCCCAAAACAGCCCAGTCCTGAGCGGATTCCCCTCCGTGCCTGCCTTTGATCCCGGGACCCTGTTCTGATTTCTCCCTGCCCCCACCCATCCAGGATCCTTCCCCCTCCCCATTTTAGCAGGGGCCCCTCCCCGCCTGCTGGGATCCATCCAACAGGTGAAGCTTTCTCTCTCCCCCCCCCCCAACCCAACCTCCCCAACCTCCAAAAAGGGCAACGCTGGACGGATCCCGTCGGGGGGAGGGGAGGAAAAAGCCCCTACCAGGCAGCCTCCAAGCGGAAGTCCAACAGGGCAAGCCGCTCCCACGCGGTGTAGGAAGAGGACGCGGGATCTTTCCCCACCCCCACAACCCGTTTACCTGCGCCTCGCACACGGGAGAGACCTCTAGGGTGGCCATCAGGAGGAGGAGAAAGGAAAGAAGCGGGGTTTTTGTGCACGTCCGAAGGGCTGACCCGAGTTTGGAGGGGAGAATTTGCAAAGGCGTCGATTCCGTGAAACGGCTGAGGCGCGAAGCGAAAACGAAAGAGAAGCTGGGAGGAGAGAAAGAGAAACCGGGCAGGGCTTCCCAGCCCTGGGAGGCGGGGTCGGAACTGGTGGGGGGGGGAGGGGAGGGCAGGCAAATTGGCAGGCCGGCATCCAACCGGTGCACCCGGACCGCCACCCACCCGCTGCAAATGCACCGGTGGTTTTGCATGCAACAAGCATTTCCAGGCTCCCCTCTCTGCAAGAAACGGGGCTTCGGGGGCGATTCCTGATCTTACACAACCGCCTTGCAAGGTAGGCAGGGTTCCGTCCACGCCCCCCTTGCCCCCCCCCCGGAGGCTTTGCAAAGGCACCGAGTGGGGTGGAGTTTCTTTTGCAGAAGAAGCGCTCGCAAAAGAAAGGAATTGGGGGAGGGGGCGGCTGGGGGCGTGCTGAGACCCCAGGGGGAGGAGTAGGGGTGGGGTGATTGTTCTGCCCTGGAGGTTGACTGACACACACACACAGACAGAGAGAGAGAGAGAGCGCGTTTTATTTTGGTTAGAGGGAGGGATGGTCTCTGAGAAATGTCTCAACTCCTGGCCACTTGGAAGACCGGTGGACTTCAACACCCAGAATTCCTCAGGCAGCCTTATCGGCTGGGGAATTCTGGGCATTGAAATCCACAGATCTTAAATCAGCCAAGGGATGAGAAATACTGGGTGATAAAGGAATCGACAGGATAGATGGATGTATTGAAAAATGTAGGTAGATAGATGGTAGAGATGGATACATGATAATTGATGGATGGATGGATAAATAAGTGTAAATAGGTAAGTAGATATGTAGGTAGGTAGATAGATGATAGATAGCTAGATAGATAGATAGATAGATAGATAGATAGATAGATAGATAGATAGATAGATAGATAGATAGATAGATGATAGATAGATAGATAGATAGATAGATAGATAGATAGATAGATGATAGATAGATAGATAGATAGATAGATAGATATTGA